GTGCAGTTTGTGACTATCAAACTGTGTGATTGTTGGGATTTGAAGAAATGAGAGCAAATTATGCGCTTTTGTTTTATGCCGCTAGAAACAAAGTGCGTTAAGATACAATTTTAAAATGGATTCTTTGTTAAGTTGTTATGTGACAGTGTTTAATCCCCTGAGTTTGAAACACCTTCAGCTAATACTGAAGACCAGTTATTAAAGAAAGAAAGAAAGAAACAGCAGAAAGTCTGGATCCTTGGAAAGAAGATGTAAAGAAAAAAGGGGTGGCTCAATAATTTTTCACAGTACTGTAGTGCAGTGTTTGAAATGCAAATGAATGCATCACACAAATCTTTTAAGTCAATTCATAATTAACGCCAGTTTTTCCCAATTTTTTTTCAGGTAAACTACATCTTGGAGTCCCGGGCCAGCACCTCCCGTGCTGATTACTTTGCCCAGAAACAGCGAAAACTGAGCCGCCGGACCAGCTTCAGTTTCCAGAAGGAGAAGAAGACTGGGCAATAGACGGGCTCCTCTGCCACCTGTCAGTTCATTCTCTATATATAGCCTTGTATATGGAGAGCATCAACCTAAATCTACAATCCCTATAAAGAAGACTGTCAGAAATGTGACAAAGATGAAAATGAGAGGAAGAGAGCAATGGTTAGAAAATGGTCCTGTAGGATGTATGTCTGCTTCAGCAGAGCAAGGTGGAAGTTTCTGAAACTTCACCAGTGTCAAGTCATTCTTTTTCTAACATTGAAAAAAAGACTTGTTTTGGCTGTTGTGTTTTTGTCAGTTTTTTTTTTTTTTTTTAACTTTTTGTTCATTGATTGCCTCTGAATCTAAGCTCTGTCCTCCAGGATGGATATGTAGAGCTTCAACAAGTTGGCAATGTGCACCAAAAAAATCAAAGCTACAGACTGTATTATAGCTTTTGCCCTCCTCGTCTAACAGATTTAACACAATGTGAAAATAAAGGTTTCACATTTTTAATGTATTGTACAGAGAATTTTTTATTTAGGAAATGAAAAGGTGTCTCTGGACTGTGTTGTTGGGTTTATCAGTCTAACATTTCAGGCATATATTTAAAAAAAAAGTTTTAATAGCAAATATTCTTCATGCTTTAAGAAGATCAAACACTTTTAGAAATAATTTGATAAATAATTTGAAATTTGAAATTAGGGATAAATGGACTGGTTCTTATCTGTGCACTCAAAGCACTTTATACAACTCGCCTCATTCATCTGTACAAGCACTTTTTTTCTCTGGTTTTTCTGCTGAAGTGCTTTTTATCTAACATTCAGATACATTCATACTTTGATGGATGCATCAGAGAGCAACTCAGGGTTAGTATTTTGCCCAAGGCTACTTGGCATGCAGTAGGAAGTCCACCCTTTTCCAGCGAAGCACCATGGCCTCAGATTTGGAGGCGCTGATTCTTATTCCCACCGCTTCACACTTGGCCGTGGACCGTTTTAGTGCGAGCTAGAGGCGATCACCCGATGAAGGCAACAGAGCCGTGTCATCTGCGAAAAGCAGAGATGACCACCCAAGTGAAAGCCTTCGAGCGCTTGACTACGCCTAGAAATTCTCTCCATAAAAATTCCGGCCATGCAGCCCAATTTCAACACTGTTAACAGGAAAAGGCAGAACCAGGCTTGGGGTGGGGCAGCCATCTACTGCAAATGGTTGAGGGTGAGGGGAGGGAGACAAAGCAAAAGTCACATTGAAGAGATCCAGAGATTAATAATGATTAATCATTAAATGTGTGGTGTATAAACGCATTGTGGAAAAAAAGGTGAGTGAAGTAAAAAAAAAAAATGAATCATGGGAAACGGCCAGTAGCCTAGCAGCACAACCAAGAGATGATTCAGGCTTACATAATCCAGCCCTAAATATATGGTTTATCAGAAAAAACATTTTTAAGCTTAATCTTAAAAGTATAGAAGTCTTCTGTCACCTGAATCCAAACTTGGAAGCTGGTCTTACAAAAGACTTCAGCCTTCCAGTATCGTAGGAATCACAAAATTCTGTACTGTGAGGTTTTAAGATTGAGCCTGGTTACTCAGGACCGATTTTAAATTTGATTCTGGATTTAACAAGGAGCCACTGAAGAGAAGTCGATATGGGAGAAACATGCTCCTTTTAGTCCCTTTCAGTGTTTTTACTGTAGTATTTTGGATCAACAGAAGGCTTTTCAGGGAGTTTTTAGGACATCCTGATAATAACAAATTACAATAGTCCAGGATAGATGTAATAAATGCAGGAATGTTTTTTCAGAATCACTTAAGACTCAATGTTTCTAATTTTAGAGATACTGCGAACGTACAAAACAAGCAGTGTTACATACAGTAAAAGGAGTATTGAACACGTCACCAATTTTCATTATGACAGTTCTCACCAACAAAGGCTCTTTTTCAAGTATTAATTACATTTCAGTAAGCGTGTTCAATACTTTTCCCTGTGTAATTTGTCATTATTAGACATAATTTATGGACATTTTTGGTGTGATTACTTTGCATGTGTAGATTGGATTGTTTTGATGCGTTCAATACTTCTTTTACCTGTTGTATTTGTAATATGTGTATCAAAGGACACATCCTGTTCAAAACTGACTTCCAGGACTCCTCACAGTGCTACCGGAGGCCATCCAGGGTAAGTATCTAGTTAGACACCATGTTTCTAGGATTTTTAGAACCAGGTACCATCTGAATTTAGAAGCAGAAAATTAGAAGTCATTATTAGTGGTATGGCTACAAAGCTGAAGGGATTAGGAACAACAGAAATCAGCCACAAAGTGGTAGGCCCTTTAAAAATGGGGTCAGCAGATGCTGAAGTGTATAGTGTGCAGAGGTAACCAACTTTCCGTAGTCACTACAGATGAACTCGAGAACAGTTCATAAAGTGCTTCATTAAATGGTTTCCATGAACGAGTAGCTGAATCCAAGCCATACGTCACCAAACATAATGCAAACAAGTGTCGGATGCAGTAAATGGACTGATTCTTATATATTGCTATTCCCGGCGTACTCAAAGCACTCTATACAACATGCCACATACACCAGCACTGTCTTCTGTGCTGTTAAGTGCTTACTGACTATCATTCACACTCCGATAGATGCATCGGAGAGCAACTTGGGGTTAATATCTTGCTCAAGGATATTTGGCATGCAAAATAGGGGGAGACAGGGATCGAACAACCAATCAGTTGATGACCTGCTCTATCTCCTGAGCTACAGCCACCCCAAAGTGTAAAGCATACCACGACTGGACTCTAGATCAGTGGAGACATTATCCCTGGAGTGACAAATCATGCTTCTAAGTCTGTCAATCTGATTGATGAGTCTGGGTTTGGCAGTCGCCAGGAGAACAGTACTTGTCTGCTGCATAGTGCCAAATATAAAGTTTGGTGGAGGGGGGATTATGGCGTGTGTTTTTTCCTTTCCTTTTCAGTGGTTCCACTGAAAGGAACTCTTAATGCTTCAACATGCTACGACACTTTGAACTTTGTGAGAACTGTTTGGAAATGGTCACTTCCTGTTCCAACATGACTGCGCACCAGTGCACAAAGCAACGCCCATAAGACATGGTTCAACAAGTTAGGTATGGAAGGACTGTTGACTGACCTCAACCCAACAGAACACCTTTGGGATGAGTTAAAGTGGAGACTGTAAGCCAGATCTTCATTAGTGTCTGACATCGCAAATATACTTCAGGAAAAACTGTCAACAGTTCCCATAAATACATGGTTGAAACTTTTGGAAAGTCTTCCCAGAAGAGTTGAACGTGCAACACCTGCATTTAAAAAAAAAAAAGGGACATCACACTCAAGTTCATACGCATTTCAACCAAGTTACCATATTTCCTGCAAATATTAGCAACAGTGCGGTAAAATATAATGCAGATGGCAATGTATATGTACAAGGTGAGCTGGAAAATGGTAAGCTTAATCTTTTTTTTTTTCTTCAAATCAAACAATCTTGGATTCCATTTTGCCAAGTCAAGTTGATAACCTGTTACAGGCAGTTTGGTGTCTGTGCCTCTTGCAGCTTAAGCTTTAAATTCTCTTTTTCGTTTATTGTGGCTGAAATATCTGGATTTGTCTATTAGGTGATAAATTGTAATCTTTGGCTCTCTTCCACAGCATGTCTTTTGTCCTGTCTTCCTTCTCTCACCCCAGCTGGGTGCAGCAGCTGGCTGTCCCTCCCTGAGCCTGGTTCTGCTGGAGGTTTCTTCCTGTTAAAAGGGAGTTTTTTCCCCCACTGTCACAAAGTGCTTGCTCATAGGGGGTCATATGAATGTTGGGTTTTTCCCTGTATGTATTATTGTAAGGTCTACCTTACAAAAAGTGGCAGTTAATTCTTCCTGTTGTTGTTGCTGTCTGTGTTTTATGTTGCTGTCTGTGTTTATTGTGCTATGGTGTGTTGATTTCTGTGCATTCCTGTATTATCCTTCTGTGTTACACATTTCAATGTTTTTTTTCCTCGCTACCTAGCCTGACCTGTCTCCCCAATGTGATGTTTGTGTATTGCATGTACGGTCGGCAAGGTCTGTCATCTCGGTTGTGGGCAAAAGACCTGCAACTGACAAATAAAGGCTATCTCATCTCTCATCTCATCTCATCTCCTTAACTAGGTTAGTTAACAAAAACAGGATAACTGATAACAGAATAGCTGATCAGTATATATAGTAGTTATATGATGTGTTACAATCGGCCCAGAGGCTGGCACAAAACAGGAGGTCCTAGATGCAGACAGAGTGAACTCAGCAATGATTACACAAGTGATCTATTTATTGACGGCAGTGAATAACAACACCTAAACCCTCAACCTAATCTGGTGACAACTATTTACAAGAATCTATGTTCAAAGGGGAATGTGCAGGGCTCCATGAAGTTTCTCCGGAAACACTGGGGATGTTGGGAAAGCACAAAGGACCGTTTTTTCCAGGGCGGGGAGCACAGAGTCTCTAGGATACAGGGAGAG